CTCAAAAAACACTTTTTATAATAACTATTTCATTAGTTTCAAAAAACACTTTTTAAAAAACATATAAAACTTAGCTTTTTAAAACTGTTTTTGATTTTTTAATCAAAAATAACTTCAAAAAATACTTTTTAAACAATATATTTTTTAATTTATTGATTTATTGACTTTTTTTATTATCATAAAAGCTAATCCAAACAGCTTTTTAAAAATTCATTTACCATTACCATAAACCAATAAATATTTTTATCTAAAAAGATTTTTGACATTTTTGTTTTAGTTATAACATTGTTATTCAAAAGGCAAAATTGCAAATTTAGTCCTTGTGGTTTGCAAAAATCTTTGGATGTGATCTAAAAAGTTTCCAGATTGTACAAAAGATCCAAAATCAATGTTTTTTTGGGTTTTTAATCCAAAAAAACTTAAAAAAGACGATTATACCATTTTAATTTCTTTTTTTATTTTTATTTTTACAACTATTCTAAAACCAGTTTGTCTTAAAAATAAAAAGAAAATAAATATATTATCCCCCACCCACCAATACGTCTCTCTCTCTCTCTCTCTCTCTCTCTCTCTCTCTCTCTTTCTCTTTCTCTTCACCAGTTATGCATCTCTCGTGTAGGAGGAAAATGGTGGAACTAGGAGACCACCAATTGCCACCACGACAATACTCCTCTTCCTAATCTGCTCACCGATCTCAACCAAACACCCCTTTTGATCGTTACTGCTACTGCTCAAATCCACAACCTACAACGAGAAGGGAAGCAGTCAAGTGGATCACCGGAGCTACCCCTTTTCTCCATGGCGATTGGTCGAGGAACACCATCTAAACACCCCTGACTCCTTCACTACCGACGATGAGAAAGAAAGCCACGACGGGCCTGCTGGAGACGTCGACTGCAACCCCTCATATTGAAGAAGAATCACCCAAATGCTTCCTATGCCCACTAATGTCGATGGATCAAAGACAACAACCCCCGATGAGGTTTTGTTGTTGATGGATCGCGCCGGAAAACCGATCATCTGGGTTTTCAAAATTTTCTCGATTTATTGTGATTGTGTTCAGTCTAAACCATATTCCATTTAGGGGTTCCATAATTTCACTGCAATAAGACAGTTTACATAGAAATTGAGGTTTGGATTGGCTCAAGTGTATCGAGATTTTGAAGGATACATCATTGGAAAGAGGGTTTAATAGTGATTCCACTATTACTCCATGTTTTCATCCTTCTGTTTGCGATCCCACCATTGCTACATGTCGAAGATTCCACCACTGATACATGTCTAGAGTTCTCGCTAGAGTTGGAGAATTTGTCAGTGGGTCTTGAATCTAGAGATGAAACCCTAGTAATAGTCGGAGAAGCACAACTCAGTGGCACGAATGACGGAGAAGGGGAATTCGTCGATGGGTCTTTAATCTCTAATGAAAATACACTGAGAGAGAGAGAGAGAGAGAGAGAGAGAGAGAGAGAGAGAGAGAGAGAGAGAGAGAGAAGTATCAGTGGAGGGAGGGAGGGAGAAAGAGACGTAAGAGAGATAGAGTTTTACCTATTTTCTTATTATTATTATTATTATTGAAATGGTAATAAAATATAAAAAAATATAAATATAATAAATAAGGATATAACTATCATTTCATTTTTTTGGACTAGAAATTTAAAGAAACCTTAGATTTTAGATGCCGGAAACTTTTTGTATCAATTCACCACAAAAATATAAAAGTTAACATTTTTTACCATCAAAGGCCATCGTATCTCGAACTCCGACAAGGGCTCTAGAGTGAAGTTCCACGTCGTCGTGTATTGTCATCACGTCTCAACTTCCTAGATTCGAGAGAGAGAGAGAGAGAGAGAGAGAGAGAGAGATGAGAGAGGGCTTGCGTTTCTACAATGGCGAAGTAGTGCTAGGGTTTATTTTGGGTTTACTATACCTATGCGATTACTCAATCGTACCAATCAGAGCATCGATTCATGAGTATCGCAACGAGTTCTTCACTCCTCAGTTGAACGCTTTCCTCTTTCATGGAGGCAGTGAAGGTCTCTTCGCTTCAAAACATCTCGAAGATCATGACAATAGTTCTTCAATTACCTCTCCAGGAAATAAACCCCTCGAGGGGAAATCTTTCATCAGGTTTTACTTTCATGTTTTCTTAATCTTCAGCTTGATCTTGATTTCTCTCATTGATAATCAACCCCTTCTCCAAGAAATTATTCCCCAATCTAAATCCGTAGAGACACGATCATTTCTAACACCGTGGAAATGTTATGTTATTGCTTCGAGTAGATTAGTTCCTCTTAATACTGAAATATTTCCTGTGTTCCTTTACATATATCTAAACAAGAAAATAGATTAAATGAACAGATATTGATCATAGTCCTCCAAATAATACTGGCTGAGCTCATGTTCCAGAGGCACTACTTCAATTAAACCCCAATCCTTCTTAGCATGTTCTTCTGGAAATTAACCAAAGTGTTTGGGAATGAGATGATTCAGTTACAGTGAACCATAAAACACTTTCAAAACCAGAGCTTGCAATTACTAACTGTTAATTTATCTTCTTGCATTTGATAACATTGAAATTCCAAAATTAGGGGATAAGATAACCCAAATTGAAAGCTTCAAACAGCACATTTTCATAATATCAAATCACATACATAGGTAGCGCCCAGGTTTAAACATGAGACATCACTTTTTGATAATATTGAATTAGTTTACAATCTACTTGTAGATTAGGTTTTAGGTATTGACATTTGTGAAATGATAGATTGAGATTGGATAACAGACAATCTTCAAAACAAACATTTTTGTATCCATTTCAGGTTTGAAGATGTTACCTTCAAAAGAACAGAAGAATCAGCCAAAATTCAAAACTCAATGCAGAGTAGAACCGGATTAATTGAAGCCATAATATTCGAAGTAAAAGACACCGAAAGAATCGGTGGAAACTTTCTAAAAACTAATTCAAACATCTTATGTTGCACTCCAAAGCTCGCATCAGAAGAATCCTGCACTGTAGGAGAAGTCATCATCCAAAAAGACGAAAATACCCCCGAATGGCCAAAACGCATCCAAACCTTCTTTGAAGGAAACAAACAAGAAGCCAAAATGAAACCTCAATCAGTTGACATAAACAAAACCGGAATGTACTATCTTTACTTCATGTACTGTGATCCAGAACTGAAGGGCACAGTAATTTCAGGAAGAACAGTCTGGAGGAATCCAGAAGGGTATTTACCTGGAAAAATGGTAAAATTAATGACTTTTTACGGGTTCATGTCTTTGGGTTACCTTGTTCTTGGGCTTGGTTGGTTTTTAAGATTTGTTCAATTTTGGAAAGATATAATGCAATTGCATTACCATATTTCTGCTGTGATTGCTCTTGGGATGTGTGAAATGGCACTTTGGTATTTTGACTATTCTAACCTTGGGTCAACTGGGAGTAGGCCTTTTGGGATAACAGTGTGGGCTGTGACTATTAGTGCAGTTAAAAAGACTCTTTCAAGGTTGTTGCTTTTGGTGGTGGCTATGGGGTATGGGGTGGTGAGGCCCACCCTAGGTGGGGTCACCTCCAAAGTGATGATTCTTGGTGTGGTGTATTTTGTGGCTATAGAAGCACTCGAGCTTGTTGAAAATTTGGGAAATATTAATGATTTTTCTGGGAAAAGTAAATTGTATTTGGTGTTGCCTGTTGCTTTCTTGGATGCTTGGTTTATTTTGTGGATATTTTCGTCTTTGTCCAAGACATTGGAGAAGCTTCAGGTATAAATATAATCTTGGTATCAATTTTTTCGGAGGGCATTTTCGTCTTTTGGTTTTAAATTTTGTTAATGATGTTTAGATGCGGAGAAGCATTGCTAAACTGGAGGTGTATCGAAAGTTCACAAACGCCCTTGCACTTTTTGTCCTCCTCTCTATTGCTTGGATTGGCTATGAGGTACGTACCCTTTGTTTTTTCTTTTCTTTTCTTTCTCATTTTTTTTTGACTAATTATTTTTTTAATTCGAAAATTAAATTCGACAGTTGTATTTTAATGCAACTGATCCAATAAGTGAGCTATGGCGTATCTATTGGATCATTCCTGCTTTCTGGTCACTACTTGCCTTTTCACTCTTGGTGGTGATATGCATCTTGTGGGCCCCTTCTCGCAATCCCACCAGGTAATTTCTTGTTTCACAGTACACACTATACAGTACACAGAACACAGTATAATAATGTGTGTGGGGGTGTAGATATGCGTATGCAGGGGACACGGGGGAAGAGTATGATGAGGAGGCGATATCGCTTACAAGTGGAGTGAAAGTGGATGGGGGAGAAGTTGGAATGATGATGGAGAGGAAGGAGAAGAAAGGGTCAGCCTCAACGGATCATCTTATTGGGCTTACAGAAGATGTAGCGGAAGATAAAAGAGAATGAGAGTGAGAATGAAAAATGAGATGTTATTGTTGTGTTTTGAGTTGTTGATTTTGTGTAAAGTTTGTGTCATGTGATGATGTGTATTGTATAAAAACGTGGCTAACTAACTTACAATCACTCTTGGCATCTTTCATGTTTTGAGGGAATGATGAGAGAAAGTGGTGTACTAGTTTTACTTTGACTCCCTTTTGTTCAAGGCCAATATACATTTTCTTTCAAACGTCGACTTGAGTTTAGAGTTTTGAACCTGTTGATTACTTGTTATGAAAATCCATCCTCTTGTACTGATTTTGGTAATCGAATATCTACAAAGTTTTGTAGAAAAGCGAAATCAAGAAAAGTTATGAATCATTGTTTGTATTGTGCCAAGTAAATTAGAAAAAAAGGTGAGATTATGAGAGATTTTACAAAAGCAAAATGGTATAAAAATATCTAAGGTTTAAATATATTTTGTCATGACAATACAAATTTGATGGCTGTTTTGTAGAATGGAAATTTCTGCGTTTTTTTTTCAGTGAAATAATTAAACAAAATAGATGAGTTTTTTCTCAAATAAACAAAATGTTTTAATAACGTCATTCAGTATACTTATGGTGAAAGGTTTTCGTGGCCATCTGACAAGCTCACCACGATTGCGTACACATACCAAGGGTGTTGTGGGGCCACGATCGTTGGCACTCATAGTCTATACCACAAAAGATCACAACCAACTAGCTCTCTTTTCTTCTCTCTTCCTTTTTTTTTCCCACCATCGTTACAGGTACACTAACAATGGTGTGGAAGGAGATGATGGTAATGTGGAAAGAAACAGTTGTGAGATGGAGAAAAACCACACCACTTGGCGTGTCCCCATAGCCGGCATAATAGTGTCCCCATACCCAATAGGAGAAGGTAAGAAGTAAGAACCACTTACCATGGTAAATTAATGAAGTTATTTTTTTATGGACTAAAATACAAAGAAAACTTAAGGTTGGGGTTAGAAATGAAATATCAAATATCAAGAGGATTGAAATCGAATTTATGATTTTATGAAAATTGAATTGATAGCCAGTCAATTTAAACTTCAATTACTACTCTTAAGCCTTAAACCCTAGAATTTCATAAGCGTCTCTTCTCACAATTTCGATCGTCTCATTTTGTCTCTTCCATCTCGCTCTTACCTCTGTCGCTGCTACTCTAGCTTCAGGTAAATGTCACTTCCTTTCTGTAGATCTTCCTCTGTAAATCTATGACAATCATGCTTGTGCCTTTTGTTTTCTCGCTTTCCTTTGACCAGTTCCTGAATATTTCATGAAGGCCACCATAAGCAACAAGAAGCTCTGAGAGCTTATCTACCTTTTACTCGTCGGCATTGTTATTAGTGATAAATTGTTTAACATAAAAGTTGGATAGGGTTTGAAGCTCTGATGATAATATCGGTGCACTGAATTTCACATGTTTCATTGATTTTACCTAAAAATAGTTTGCAAAACCTTTCACAATCAAGAAGGCAAATTTTACTATTCTCACAAATTATCTGAAAGATTTCGTGAACGGTGAACGTGAAGCGATCAATCATGTCATTTGTCATTGGTTTACATCCCACTTCATCTATAAAGTACAAACCAAACAAAAATATACAACATAATAGAATAGAATTGAATTCCATTCCAATTATTGTTTCCAAATTATTCTTATTCCAATTCCTTGGAAAGATTCCACTTCCTAACCAAACTCCCTCTAATTAATAGTCCCATCAATTTGAAAACAGTCTTTTTCTTTCTACTTTCTAATCAGTGGTTTTGGTTGTTTAATTAACTAGTGATTCTTGTAAGCAATTCACGGGTTTCATATCATACCAGATGAAGAACTGTTTTACTTTTACCAATTAAATTAAGTTTTTTGTTTTGTAGGTGAATTCATATAACTGTTAAAGGATGGTTGAAACCTTGTTTGAAGATATATTTAGGGTTGATCAGCTTGACCCTGATGGCAAGAAATTTGACAAAGGTATTCTTCACTCCCGTCATCATCATCATCCTCCCATTCTCCTTCTCTTGAATCCAATTGAAAAGTAGCTTGGAATATTGGTAGTACAAGAAAGTAGCCATAGTAAATTACTGTTTTATCCTTTCAATAAGAAGTTAGTATCTGAATATGTTTGTTGTTTTTTTGAAATAGTTAATCGTATAGAAGCAAGAAGCGATCAATTTGATATGTACATGCAGCTGGATGTGAATACAGATGTTTATCCTATGCATGTTGGTGAGAAATTTATGATGGTTCTAGCAACTACCTTGAACTTGGATGGAACTCCTGACAGTGGATTCTTTTCTCCTGTAATCTCAACACTTTGACCTTTTTTTTTTTGGGTTTTGACTTTTGATGATAAAAGAATAAAATATTGAGTTTAAATTTTTATTCATTATCTTGAATTGCACATACTTTTTATTTCAGGGTGGGCGAAAGTCACTTGCTGACAAGTTTGAATATGTGATGCATGGAAAATTGTATAGGATCAATGAAGAAGGGTCAGGAGCTAATGTTAAAGCGTATGTTGAGCCATATTACTATTTTGCCCTTTATCCGGTTTATGAAATTTGGTCTCAAGTGTCGACTGCTCTTGTTTTTTCAGGGACATTTATGTCTCGTTTGGTGGTTTATTGATGTTGTTGAGGGGTGACCCTTCAATTGCAGCTAAGTTTGAGCTTGATCAGAGGCTATTCATCCTCATGAGGAAGGTAAAAAGCCTTTTTTGATATCTTTTTATAACTGTTTTCAATGATGGGGGCATTCTCGTCTTTTTGGTTGGGACAAAACTTACATAATTTGATCTATATTAGTTTATAAGGAGTAATAATAAGTATAATTTTGGTATTGCAGGTGGACAAGGCTTAGTTGTTCAACATATATCTCAATCAGGATGATGCCAAAGTAATGAGAATTAATAAAAAAAAAAAATCAGATGTAAAATATGTTGACAATTTTAACTTCTTATATATTGTATGTACCTTTTAGGGTTTACTTTCTGCAATATGAAAACCATGATAATTTCTAATCTGGAACGTGATTTTGGACAAATGTTGAAGTGAAGATATTTGCGTTATTTTTCTAGTATTTTTCATTTTCAATAAATGTTTATTGTCTATGTGCATACATGATTGTGAAGTAACACTTAGGTGTGTTTGGTTAATTGGATTTTGGAGGAATTGAAATGCAAATGTCAATAGAAATTGCATTTGGTTGACAAAATCAAAAGAATTAGGATTTTTTAGATTCCATGAAATTCCATGTCGGAAGTATCATAAAATAAATCAATATGTTTTTTAATTAATCTCTCTGTTGTAACATTTAATTATTATAGATTTTAGTAAACTTTTTTTTTATTTATATTTTAAATAATGGTACCACGTTAAATAACTATTAATTGTAAATAATTAACATATTTGTTAAAAAGATATAAAACAATTGTTGATATTTATTTAAAACTATCCTTAAACGAGTATTACTATTCGTTTACATAGAACAATTTCAAAATTTAATTCGAGTATTACTATTCGTTTATACTTGGAGCTGAAAAAAGTTATTTTTTTTAAAGATATTTTAGTCGGTTTTCTATTAAAGTTTTTTCATTTAATAGGCTCAAAGTTTACAACATGCCTAAGCTGAATTATGAACAAATTTCAACAAATTTCGTCCCCCCTCTATTTTTCATATTACGTGTAAGGTAGTTAATTAAACAAAGACTTGATCAAATGACAGTTTACATCTCTCCTCATATGCTTCCACCACAAGAGTCTCGATTCTTTCTCTGTCTGTAAATTCCTCTCTGACTTACACTTGTAGAAAACATAACATCTTACTCTCACAAGTAATATCAACACATTTCCAACCTTCACCTTTTTCCCTATTTTCTAAAAATTTCCCTTATTTTGTCCCAAATCCAGCTCAAACCCATGACATTTAATCAATAAAACTGGTTCAAGAGGAATATGTTTTAGTTCTCCTGAAATTTGTGTTCAAAACAACATCAAAATCAGCTTTTAATCGTTTTGTTTTTGATAGATTTGATTGAATGTGAGTGAAGAACTAATCATAGATTTGATTTTGTGATCTGGGTAGTCATTCTTTTTCTCAATAAATTATGAGGGAAGGGAGATTAGGGTTTGTAATATGTGTTTTGTTGTTGATTTGTGAGTCTACATTGGGTAGATTTGTGGTTGAGAAGAACAGTTTGAGGGTGACGTCACCTCAGAATCTAAAAGATACATATGAATGTGCAATTGGTAATTTTGGTGTTCCTCAATACGGAGGAACATTAGCTGGAGCTGTTCTTTATCCAAAAGCCAATCAAAGGGCTTGCAGGAGTTTCTCTGATGATGTTTCCTTCAAATTTAAATCTGGTGCTGGCCTTCCTGTTTTCCTTCTTGTTGACCGTGGCGGTAAATTTACGTTTTTACCCTTTTGCTCGATTGTATTATTTCCTATCATGTAAAAAATTCATTCGAAAGCATAATCAATGTGATTATAATAAGGATTTGAACGAAAAATACAATAACATCATATACTAGATGAGCAAAATAATGCATTAGATAGAAAACATGGTTTGTGCAATGTATTTTATTTCTTACCCAAAATAACAACATACTTATATTTTTATATTTACATATTTTTTTTACTGATTACCAATGGGAAGTGATTCGTATACAACAATTTTTTGTCATGCATAACAATATATGCATTATAAAATTGTATAGGACAACACTTTAAAACACCAATTGTTGTGTATGGAAAAAAATTATTATGTACAAATAATTTCTCATTAGCAATGTACATTTTTTACCTATTGGTTACTAGCAAATAACAACATAATAACATTTTGCAACCAAATAGACATTATGCTTCATTTATTATATATTGCTATTATTGGTAAGGGAAAAAAACATAAAAGCCCTTAAATTTAACAAAAATGTACAAACTTTACCCTTTGTGTATTTTAGGTTCATTAAATCCAATGGTTTACAATTTTTTTTTTCAATTTACCTTTTTGCATATTTTGGTTCATTAAAGTCTTACATATGACATAAATATTTAGTTTTATCCTTTTTTATGGAATATTAAATCCCTTAAATTACTAGTAAAATGTTTGGTTTTTACGGGGTATACCTATAAAAATGGTAAAATTGGAAAGGAAAAAGTTGCAATGAACCTAAAATACGCATAGTAAATCCACAAATTCCTATAAAAACTTAAAACAGTTTTACGTCATTTGCCATTTTGGTAAAAAAAGGCTATACATTGGTATTATTATTTATTATTTATTAGTAAAGAAATATGAATATACTGTTTCGGGGTAAAAAGTAAATTACATTATTTACTGTGTCTCAGACTGTTACTTTACGTTAAAGGCATGGAACGCACAGAGAGCCGGAGCCGCCGCTATTCTTGTCGCCGATGACAGGCCTGAGCCTCTGATCACCATGGACACACCAGAAGAAGAAAGTGCACGTTTCAATTACTTACAGAACATCTCCATCCCTTCAGCCCTCATAAGCCAATCACTTGGGGAAGCGATAAAACGAGCCCTAGAAAAGCCAGAAATGGTAAAAGTAAACCTCGATTGGAGAGAAGCTCTTCCTCACCCCGATGATCGAGTTGAATACGAATTTTGGACGAACAGCAACGATGAATGTGGACCGAAATGCGATAGTCAAAAGAATTTTCTAAAAGATTTCAAAGGCGTCGCTCAAATTTTAGAGAAGAAAGGGTATACGCAATTCACACCACATTACATCACCTGGTATTGTCCTGAAGCTTTCATTTTGAGTAAACAGTGTAAGTCTCAGTGTATCAACCATGGAAGATATTGTGCTCCTGATCCTGAAGAGGATTTTGCTCGAGGGTACGATGGGAAAGATGTTGTTATCCAGAATTTAAGACAGGCGTGCTTCTTTAAAGTCGCTAATGAATCTGGAAAACCATGGTTATGGTGGGATTATGTCACAGATTTTGCTATTCGTTGTCCAATGAAAGAGGAGAAGTACAATAAAGAATGTGCAGAAGAAGTAATCAAATCATTAGGTGAGTTTTCAAAACGTTCTCTGAGCTTATTATGTGTAAAGAAATATTAGTATATTGGGTAAAAAGAGTAAACTACATTATTATTTCCCTATTAATCTCAACATACTTGTTGCATGATATATAATTTATTGGTATATATTGTGTTCAAGACACTAAATTGAGATCTCTCAGGGGCTGATCTGAACAAAATAAATGAATGTGTGGGTGATACAAAAGCAGATAAGGAGAACCCAGTCCTCAAGGCTGAGCAGGAAGCACAGGTGTTCATCATATAGATATTTTTTTTTCCTTTTTTTTTTTTTTTGACATAATTCACATATTCTTCTAATTTATGTTAATTATTTAACTTTGTAATTTTACAGATAGGTAAAGGTCCACGTGGAGACGTGACAATATTGCCAACTCTCATAATAAATAACAGACAGTTTCGAGGTTTGTGAAAATTATGTTAAAATAAAAATGTGTACCCTAAATTACATTGACAATTTTATTTATTTATTTTATTTTTTGCTTTAGGTAAGCTTGATAAAGGAACAGTTTTGAAGGCCATTTGTTCAGGATTCGAGGAGACAACTGAGCCAGTTATTTGTTTAAGAGAAGGTCAGTTCTATATTCATTATTATTTGTATTATTATCTCTCTAATTTCACAAATATAATAATGTTGTGTGTGTGTGTGTTAATTTCAGGAATAGAAACAAATGAGTGTATGGAAAACAATGGTGGATGCTGGATGGACAAAACTTTAAATATCACAGCATGCAGGGTACATAGAATTTTTTTGACATGCTATTTTTTGTGGTTTTTTGTAAATGTTTTGAAAAATCTTATCCTATTTAGTTAAATTTCATGTTTTTTGTTGAATTGGTTGGTGTAGGATACTTTCAGGGGGAGAGTTTGTCAATGCCCGATTGTTCAGGGTGTAAAGTTTTTTGGTGATGGTTATAAACACTGTGAAGGTAATTAATTTGTATCGTATGTGTGCACATATTTTGTCCATGTGGTTTTGATCCTCTGTGTTGCAGCTTCGGGAGCTTTACCGTGTGATCTTAACAATGGAGGCTGTTGGAAAGATACCCAGCAAGGCAGGACTTATTCTGCTTGCATTGTTAGTACTCTCTCTCTCTCTCTCTCTCTCTCTCTCTCTCTATATATATATATATATATATATATATATATATATATATATATATATATATATATATTGTGTGTGTGATTATATATTGAAATATATCACTTTTGTGTACATTTTTTTGTCTTTTGGTAATATTAAATATTGATTTTTCTTTTTATGTTTAAAAAAAAATCTATTGTAGGATGATCATAAAGAGGGTTGCAAGTGTCCACCAGGATTCAGAGGGGATGGAGTAAAAAATTGTGAAGGTATTATCACTTTTATTAGAAATTAAAACTACAAATTCCCATAAAAAAATCCAACAATTTAATTTTGACATTTACTATTTATGTTTCAAGACATTGATGAATGTGAAGAGAAGGCAGCGTGTCAATGTCCTAACTGCAAATGCAAGAACACATGGGGTAGTTACGACTGTAAATGTGGTGGCAATATGCTTTACATTAGAGAACACGACACATGTATAAGTGAGTGTTTTTGTTTGTTTACGTTATTAAATTTCTAACCTAGTACTCTCCAAAATATCTACATTTTTTAATGTTGTTACTTGTTTTTTGGAATAATTAACAAATTGATAACTAGGTAAAGATGCTATCTCGGGAGTGGGTTGGGGATTTATGTGGGTCATCATTCTTGGTATGGCAGTTGCTGGAGTTGCTGGATATGCCTTTTATAAATATAGAATTCGGGTACAATTTTTTATTTTATTTTTAATTAATTGAATTTGACATAACATATAGAGAAAATTGAAAACATTTATAAACAAAAGATACAAATAGAAAACCAACAAGTGTAGTTAAGATCTTAGGGTGATATTTTTGTATTGCAGACATACATGGATTCTGAGATCCGGGCTATTATGGCACAATACATGCCATTGGACAATCAAGCTGAAGTTGCAGTTCACGCATCACATGGGAACGTCTAAAAGAAAAAAAAAG